GACCTAATAACCACACTTTATAATAGAGGAAGAAAAATCTCAAACACCTGCCACCCTGGCTCTTGCTTCAGATTGCTCTCTGCCATTCCTTTGTCTGCCTCTGCGAACAGCAATCCTAGTTGGTAAAGTGAATCTAAAGTAACTCAACCATGAAAACAGGGGTGCTTGTGCTTCACATGTTATTTTCCCCTGTAGTGTGATGTAAATGTGGTGGATGAAAGGTATCCCGTTCTCGTTCTCAGGAAGCCTGGAACAAATAATCACTTTTATGGCTATAGATGAAACTCTAACTCTACCCTAGTGGAGACACTCTCCCCAAGCCTCTTTCCAAGCTCAGGCAGAGGTCCCTGTTAGGTAGTTTGTAACTTGATCTTGTCACAGGCAATAGCAGCTACTATGTGAGATATATCAAGGGGACAGCATTTTTGAATGAAAATTTGATTAAGGAAATGTTCTCATTTCTCACTCATCCATACAAATCAGCGTATAGGAAACTACAAAACAAGTCATCATCGGTCACCCTAAATTCTCCAGACACAGCAAAGTTTAAAATGGACTTTCAAGTCCCATACCTTAATACTGACCACACATAATGGTGTGTCCTTATTAAGGTCTGCCTTCCCCACCAGCTGTACAAACTACAAAGATAGCATATTTAAGCACCATAGCCTTATGTACACTGAAGTATAGAATGATAGCATGATAGTGCTGAGACATAAGCCCTGCACCACTAGGGAGGCCCAGTACATTGCAGTACACAGTACAAAAGAAACACTTAAAACTTGTTGAGTGAACTATCCAAAGAAATTACCAGGATATTTCTTTCTACTTTTCTTCTTTATTTGCCCTCACTTTCCCAGATTCTCTTCAGTTCACCACCATGATGGCACCAAAGGTAGATGGTTCAGTATTTTCACTTTAAAGATCACACGATGGGGCCTCCCTGGTGGCGCAGGTGGTTGAGCTCAGCGCTGTGAAGCTGCCCGTGGCTCTGCAGAGCGGGTTCGATTCACGGCCGGCCAGGGAGATTCCCACATGGCACAGCAGACCTCTCCTGTCTCGCCCACTGCTCCCCTCAGCAGTGTATTTCGGTCAGTCTGCCTGTTCTGCTCCCCGCAATGTCTCTGGTGAATCCTCTCACCCTCCCGCACATCTGGCCTGTACCCCAGCTCTTGTGTGCATGAATAAATAAATCTTAAAAAAAAATCACACGATGCAGGAGATATGGAACAGAGGAATTAGGAGGCGGGAGGTGGACAACCAGGACTAGGCTGAGTCCGAGACCTGCAGCCGCAAGCACCAGAGCCCACCGGCATGCATGCAAACCCCAATGGCATATCCTGTAAAAGAAGGGACAATGTCTTGAACTCAAAGGCAGAAGTAGAATCAGGCTTTTGGGGATTAGAAGGATGAGGAGGAAAAGTTTTCTTCAGGCATCAGGCTTTCCTCTCTCTCCCTAAGTGATCCTTCCATTCTGGTTTTCACTTCCCTTCAAGCAGATCAGTTTTCACTGTTTCTTTATGTATACGAATGTCTCACAATTCTAGGGTTTACTAGGTCTAGGTGTGCTAGGCTGAGAACACCATTTCCCACTCCAAATTCTAAATTCTGGGGATAATCAGAGTGGCTCGGGGGCAATAGTGTTAACCAGGCAAGCCTGTTTTTCCTGGCAACCTCCTATAGGGAAAGCAGGAAACTCTCAGAAAAGTCAGGGCATGAGACCATCCCCAAAGCCACAGGTGTGTTATTGACCCTGATGTGTCTGCTCCCCATATTTCTCTCATCTACTGCTCCCCCAAGTTCACACAGCTGTACCACACTCTGCCTTTCCAGGCAACTGTCTGCCATCAACCCCGTCACTATTTATTCATTCTTTCTCATCTAATGCCCCACACCCCCTTCTCTCCATTAAACTTCAAATTCATTCTCAATGTTACAAAACATTATTATCCTACAGAGAACATGACAAATATATTAAAAAACATTTTAATGGACAAAATAAGACATAGTTTTATGTGTACAAGATATTTTCTGTTTATTTCTATATTTGGAATATTAGTTATTATACTCCAATAAACAGACAATAGGGTCATATTTAGTTATGGTGTCTACATTACAGCCTCCAGATACACCGTACCTTTTCATTTATTTTGTAAATAATACCACATAGCCATTATTTAAGGATAATACTAAGTAGCCTCTTAACAAAACACCTTTCAACAAAAAGGACTGCAAAACAATCCCTTGGAAATTTAAAGCTACTTCAGGTTTTCTAACAGACCAAATATGAGCTTATTTCCTTATGCAGTAAGATTCTGCCTCTCTTAGGTTAGATAAAACTTAAATTTTTGTTCAGAATTCAGTGTCTGTGTCATCTGAATACACAACTCGTATGAATACAAATGCCATATTCTGACCAATTGTGAAGAACAAAACCTTTTGCATGGTAGTGGAATCATCCAATGATGAAAGATCACAGAAATCCTAACAATAAGCACACTGTCAATCTGCAAATCTTGGCACCCTGTGTAATGCTTGAACACAAGTAATTGCACAGAAACGTCTAATTAACCAGAATGTATTTGCAAATCAACATTACAGATGCATGAGGCTTTACATGTATTCATATAAATGTGTAAACTGATCAGCACGTTGGCTATAATACTATAAGACAATCTTCTCAAACTTTAAAGTACATTCAAATTACCTAGAGATCTTATTAAAATGCATATTCTAATTTAGTAGATCTGGGATGTAACCCAGTATTTGCATTTCTCCTAAGTTCTCAGGTGACTCTGATGCCACTGGTCAGCACTACACGTTTTAGAAAAGTAATCCCTTTTTTACTCTCCTTAGTGGAAGGCAATAGGTAGAGTATGCAAATAAGGAGAGGGCTTGCCTTCTCAAAGATGTCTTCAGTAAGGAAAACAGATGATAATACCCTTAAGGAAACCTATCTTTATTATCAGATTCAAGTTTTTAGTAAGTATTTATTATTGAGCATGTATGCAACGTGCAGGAGCTTTGGCAACCTAGTCATTCTTGCTTACAGCTTTTAATAGACTGGTGAAAATGCAACCGGAGACTTTTCTGTGTTATCAGTGACACTCAACAGAGAACATTAGAGGGGGACATCAAAATGTGCATGGGAAATGCAACTGCTTAGGATCCTGTGTCTTTATGAGGTTTCTGTTAATGCTCATCACAGAAGAGTCCTTGCTTGTCACCCCTAAGACCTCATTATTCTGCCAGATCTGCCTTCTCTCTGCCCCATGGTTATGGGAGAGATAGGGTGCTGGGTCAATTTCAACTTGCTGGATTACAGAAAATTCCCATCCCTTCTACTGTCAAGTTTAATGAAAAAGCAAGACCATAAATAACACAGATTAAATTACTTTAACTAAAAATTAAAAAGTTAGGGGAGGAAATATCAGTCAGAGAATTTCTTCCCCTTTCCATTTACTTAAACCCTAATCACTATAACAGCTCAAAAAGAAAGTTCACCTCCAGCCTGCCTTATAATGGAATCTGTTAGAGGCACAACAGAGAAAGGGGGATTATAAATACTCAAGTTACAAGAAGTTTCTTCTTCACTAATGTAGCACTGAGTACCTGGTTAAGCTTCATAGTATTATCTATTTAGTACAAAATTCTAGAGACATGCGAAACCTAAAAGATAACTTGAAAATCACAGGAAACTATTATATCCTTATAATTTATAATTTTTTCATAAACAGAAATTGTTGTTTAAGTTATTACAGTAGTCTCTTGCCAGAGGCATAATCACATCTACAATTTAGCATGAATTTATTTTGGTTGTACATTGGGGCATGTAATTCTCAAACTGGGGTCTTTGTATCAAGGAATGATAGAAGCCAGAGGGTACATAAGTCCAAACAACAAACCTGAGAGATTTTTCTAGAGTGTCAAATTTAATTAGAATTTGAAGGAAGCAGAGGAAAGGAAATGTTTAATGATATGACTGATGAACTGAAATACTTATTTTGCTATAAGATAAGCACAGAATAGAATTCTTAAACTTCATTAATTTTATTTTTTTAAGATTTTATTTATTTTATACAGGAACTGGGTTGCAGGTAAGAGGCATGGGAGGGTGAGAGGATTCACCAGAGACAGACTGTGGAACAGAACAGGTAGACTGGAATACACTGCTGAGGGGAGTGGTGGGCAAGACAGGAGAGGTCTGCTGTGCCATGTGGGAATCTCCCTGGCCTGCCGAGGATCCAACCAGCGCTGCAGAGGCTGCAGACAGCTTCACAGCCATTGCGTTCAACCCGCTATACCACCGGGAAGGCCCCCTTCATTAATTTTAAAGATTAAAAAACTGAACTGAAAAGAAACTTCCTGTTTAGGGGAGTCAGCTCTTTTCTCCCTAGAAGAACTTCTGCTAGTACAAGAATCTAAAAATCAGTCATATCTTTATTTTAAATGTATACTTGGAAGATTTGCTACTTATCAGTGCAAGGACATATTTCTCACATAAAATGTTAGGGAAATGAGATTGACTTCTAATTAGAACATTTCAATTCTAAGCAAATCCTTTTGAGAACTGAATGTTCACTGTTGAATGTCTTGGATTTGAATAAATAATATAACAATAACGCAAGAACAAATTTTACTTCACAAATGTAATCACTGGACAAAATTTTGAATTGTCTAACTTTACCAAAAAAGTAAAATAAAAAGTTGGAAAAGAGAGAGAGACTGCTGTAATCAGAGAATCTATTGCTGTAGTCTTTCTTCCATTCATCTTATTCAGAAACTGTGACTATATAGTCAATTTCAGAAAAATTTTCTTAATTTACATACTGAGAGCTTTAGAAAATCTAAAGTGATTTAATATGGTACCTTCCATTATAATGATAATCCCAACCCTCAGGCATCTCTACTCAAGAAGAAAATACAGAGAAGGCAATCTGGGAAGAAAAGGAAGTTGGGGTCCATGTCTGATTTCTTAAGATAGAGATCCAGATACTTACAAGGCATCGCATGGTATATGCTTGGCCAATATTGTCCACTGTCTCTCTTTAACCAAACACGAACTGTCCTGCAGTGGAAGAAAATGTGTGTGTTAAATCACAGTATTTTTTCAGTCATGAGAAAATGCTGATAGAAACTAAACCTCTTAATTATATTCACGGTTACATTTAACATATCTCTATAAATTCACACATACATATAAATGGATGCATGCTACATATACCACTCTAAAAATTCTATATTTCTTACAGGTAAGGCTTGTGTACCTTTAAATATGGCTCTTTAAGTATTACAGACATGTTGTTGTCATTTGTCTCTCCAAGTGTAAAACCTTTACCCTAGAGAGCTGGGAAGCATTCATCTACCTGGGTAGCTATTAGGTTTTACTTGTGAAGAAGTGTGAAGAAATAAAATAAATACGCAGCATTTGACCCACACACAAACAGAAGGATTGCTTAGTAAGTCCACAGTCTTACAGGCCAGACCATAGTTTTGAGAGGGCATTTCTAGCATGGAGAGGCAATAAGCTTGGAGACTCAGATTTCCTCAATTAAAGGACAAGCTATGTGGCCCACCATGGAACCAGGTAATCATGCAGCAAAGACTATTAATAAAGATATACCAATTAGTAGCACTGATAGGTTATGATCAATATATTATGACTTAACTGACATCATCTGTTCAAGTCAGCCAGGCAAACACAAGTAGGAAATAGATAGGCATTGCTCCAGTGACCAGAGGAAGAAACAGACATCAAAGCAAGGGAAAAAAGCAGCTCCCTGTGACCAGAAAATCAGATAGGCCATACCTCTCAGCACAGCCCTTAAATCATCCAAGAGAAAAAGCAGACAAGGACTGAATATTTTTATGTCAGAGAGAAGTGGACACTATGGGCCTCCCTGGTGGCACAGGGGGTTGGGACACAATCTATGAGGCTACCCGCAGCCTCTGCAGTACGAGTTCAATCCCCCAACCGGTCAGAGAGCAGCCCACATGGCGCAGCAGACCTCTCCTGACTCGCCTGCTGCTCCCTCAGCAGTATACTTGGTCAATCTGCCTGTTCTGTTCTCCACTCTGTCTCTGGTGGGTCCTCTCACCCCCCACACCCCAGCTGTTGTATGCATAAAAAAATAAATCTTAATTAAAAAAAAAAGAAGTGGACACTACCTAAAGGGACTATTTAAGTCATCATACCAGACTAAGCTTTTAATTGTATTGGATTTTTTTTTTTTTCAGTTATGAGTGAGTCTCCAATGCAGAGAAGCAGGAAAGACTAGACTAACTGCAGATACAATGGAGAAATGCCATTTCACTGCATAGTCGCAAGATATGATGTAGTGATAAATGATACCACTCCACACACACACACACACACACACACACAATTCCGTTTTTCAACTCAAGTATTCTAATTTGTGAGATGGAAAGTACAACAATAAATATTAATATATAAGAAGTAATGTGATATATCTACTATTCATATGCATGCCAGTCTTCACCTAAAAGTTTTTTTTTACAATATATGCCAGTATAATATTTTAATATGGAAATCATGAATTAATATAAAAGTGATGTCATGAAAAATGGGAGAGCAAGAAGCTCCAGAAATTAGTCCTTATACAAGATCAACTATTGTGCTGGCAAAAACTCTCAGAATCACTATTTTGGAACACTAAGTCTAGTTAGAAACTTGCAGTACCCAAGACAATTCTTGGTGAAGAAAGAGGCTGTTAATGTCAGTGAACTTCACATTTTGCTATCAGCCACCATCACACATGCCACAGTCTGATATTAGGCACTATGAGCATAGTCATCCATGTTCCTAAAGTGGTACCAAGGTGGGATCTACCCACCCAAAGTTGGAGAAATGTGTTTCCATTTGCCAGATAATACACTGAGAGACTATAAAAGAAGCTGGGCACCTTTCAATGCCCTAGGGTTAAAAGTCTTCCAAGTAACAATGGTCAAAAGAAATTTAAAGAAACAGAGACCTTCTGTCCCTTATTAATAAATCCAGGCATTAAAAGAAATCACTGGCTCAAAAATCACCAATCATCAGGGAAATGCAAATCAAAACTCCAATGAAAACCTCCTACCTGTTACAATGGCTATTACCAAAAAAACAAGAAATAACAAGTATTGATGGAAACTAGATTTTGGTGGTAGTCATAATGTAGCATATGCAGATGTTGAATATAAAGCTGCACACAATTTGAAAAAGATTATATCGTGAGAAAAAATAATAAATGTTGGTGAGGGTGTGGACAAAAGGGAATCCTTATGTGCTGCATAAGACTATAGAAAACAGTATGGATGAGTCCTTGAAAAATTAAAAATAAGATTCAGCAATTCCATACCTGGGTATTTATCTAAAGAAGGTAAATTTGCACCCTATGTTCATTGCAATTTGATTTACAATAGCCAATACACAGGGAAAAAAACCCTCAGTGTCCATGCAGATAAAGAAAATGTGGTGTATATATACAATGGACTATTATTCACACATTAAAAAAAGAATGAAATCTTGCCATTTGTAATAGCGTGGATGAGCCTCCAGGGCATTGTGCTAAATGAAATAAATCAGATGGAGAAAGGCAAGTACCATATAATCTCACTTATGTGTGGAATCCTAGGGGTGGGGGAAACACAACAAAAATCAAGGTTGTAAATACCTACATTAAAACAGAAGATTTCAAATCAACAACCTAACCTTATGGAGCTATAAAAAGAAGAGCAAACCATACCCAAAGCCAGCAGAAGGAAGGATATAATAAAGCTGACAGTTAAAAGAACAAATACAGACCAGAAAAACCAATAGAGATAATCAGTGAAACCAAAAATTGGCTCTTTGAAAAGACCAAAAAAAAACCCAGATATTCAGCTAAACTGATTATGAAAAATAAATAGTTGCAAAAATTAAAATCAGAAATAAAAATGGGCACATTACTACCTATCTTACAGAGATCAAAAGTATAGAAGGTTACTACAAAGAGTTGTAAACCAGCAAATTTGATAGTCTATATTAAATGGACACATACCTAAACACAAATAATCTCACCACATTGATTCAAAAAGAAAGAAACTAAACACACCTGAAACAAATAAAGTAATTGAATGAGTAATAAAAAAAGAGGACACACTTTCTAACATTTTTTTAATTCAGTATCAGCATTATCTGATACTGAAGTCAAAGACCCACAGTCCTTAAGAAAACAGATTAAAAAAAAAAAAAACCTCAACAAAATTCTAGTCAAATCCAGCAGTACATTTAAAAGGATTATACACCATGACAAAGTGAAATTTGTCACAAGAATCCAAGGAAGATAAAACCTAAGAAAATCAATTAATGCAATATTGCATATTAATAGAAAAACATACATTATTATCTTGATAACATGGAAAACATTTGGCAAATCCAGATACCTGTTGCCATAAATAACAATCAGAAAACGAGGAATATAAGAAATTTTCTTAAGCTGGTAAAAGGTATTCTTTAAAAACACACAGCTAACATCATATGGTTAAAGTTTGAAAGCTTTAACACTAAAATCAAATAAAAGAATAGTCACTATTACACTGATATTGAACATTACAAATAAAAGACATAAAGGTATCCAAATTAGAAAGGAAGAAGTAAAACTATACATGGCTCTACATATGAAAAAATCCCAAAGAAACAAACAATAAAATTACTAAAGCTAATAAATTAAGCAAAATTGTAAGGGATGCAAACAAAAATCAGTTATGTTTCTATACACCAGCAATAACCAATATGAAAAGGAAATTAAGAAAACAATTCCACTTGTAAATAATATCCAAAAGAATAAAACATCAAGGAATAAATTTAAACAAGGAAGTGCAAGACTTGTATACTAAACATGATAACACTTTGCTGGAAGAAATCATAGAAGATATAAGTAAGTGGAAAGACAATCCCACATTTATAGATTGGAAGCCTTAATATTAAGATGACAATATATCAGTAAAACAATCTACAGATTCAACGTAATCCTTATCAAATTTCATGGCCTTTTCTTCGCAGAAATGTAAATGTCAGACCTCAAATTCACATGGATTTGAATATGAGGCCCAAATAACCACAACATAGGGTAAAAGAAAAACAAAGTTGGAGGATTCTCACTTCCTTATTTCAAAAATTACTACACAGATACAGTGATCAAAACAATTTAGTAAATGCACAAGGACAGACGTGGACCAACAGAGCAGAGTTGAGAGTCGGGGGTGGGGGGTGCTAAACATCCATGGCAATAAATTTTTGACAAGGATGCCAGTACAATTCCACAAGAAAAGAACTGTCTCTTCAAAAAATGGTGCCAGGTCAATGAGATAACCACATGTGAGGTAATTAATTTGGGACAAAATCTCATTCAATGCACAAAAATTAACTCAGGATGGACCAGTGACCTAAAAACTATAGTTAAAACTATGAAATTATTAGAGGAAAATATAGGATAAATATTCATGACCTTTGACTCAACATGGATTCTTGGATTTGACACCAAAGCACAAAGACTTAAGTAAAAATAAATTTAGATTCATAAAAATGGAAAACTTTTGTGCAAGAAGAAACAGCATTAAGAGTAAGAAGATAACCTAGAGAATCACATACCTAATTAGGGTTTACTGCCCAAACAATATAAGAAATTAAATAAAAGGGGTCTCCCTGGTGGCGCAAGGGGTTAAGATGCAACCTATGAAGCTGTTTGCAGCCACTGCAACATGAGTTCAATCCCCAGCCAGCCAGGGAGCTACCCACATGGTGCAGACCTCTCCGCTGCTCCCCTCAGCAGTGTATTTCAGTCAACCTGCCTGTTCAGTTCCCCACTCTGTCTCTGGTGAATCCCTCACCCCCCCACACACACCTCTGGCCTGTACCCCAGTTCTTGTATGCATAAATAAATAAATCTTTTAAAAAAAAAGAAATTCAATAAAAAAAAGAACACACACCCCAACTGAAGGATAGACAAAGAACTTGAGTGGATATTTTTAGCATATGGCAATCACAGAAAAGATATTCAACATCATTGGTCAATAAGGAAATAAAAA